AATTCGACGAGTATTAAGCGAATATATACCATCGATAGAAAATTCACCAACATCGTCTTCTCCTGAACCTGTCACTTTTTGTTGTTTGTGATTAAAGAAAAGTGAAAAAAGATGAGGTCCATGCCATTGTTTATATTGAAAATAACGACTCATCCCTTGACCTGATGAAAAAGACTGTCCAAATTCTCTACATTAAGCTTATTGCTAGTTGAATGAACTCCATAAACAAATGTTACATTTGACGGTTGCGATGTATCATCGGGTAAAACCCAATTGCGTATTAATACGATAATATATATTGCAAGAGATGTTGTACCTATTAACGAAACTATAACAGTATAGTTTTTACTTAATATTTTTACGAATTGATTTCCATAGAAAATAATGATCTCATTATCAGATATAACAACTAAAAGATAAAATATACCACCTAAAAGAAAGGAAATAAATTTCAAATATTGATTTGAAAAGAAATGTATTTTATCAATCTTGTCAGTTTTCAAAGATGATTTCTTTTTTGAAACTAGATTAAGATATTATTCAATTGGAATGCATACCTAATAGATAAATGACACCACTGTAATCATCATCACCTCCACCACCTTGACAATGGATATTGAATGTAAATATAGAGACGATTAATAATACATGAAAGATAATGTGCATTGCAAGATTGAGAAAGAATGTCGCAATATATGGACGAAAAACAATGATTAGTACTAATAGCCAAAACAATCTATATATCCAATGAACTTAGATGAATTAATGTTAGAATTATGTTGTTATCTTGAAATTATTTTTTTTCTTACCAAAAATGTCAACACAAATATTCAGGTATAATGATGCACAGGTGTTATTTATATAAAAGTTTGTCTACAATACGTCTCATATCATTGTGATTCATGATAATAAATGACGTGTATATATTTCATTGTGACTAGTTCATTGTTTCATAATTTTGTTGGCACGTCACTTTACCAATAAGATACTTCGTCGACTAAACACTAACAGAAAGGCCAAAAAAAGTCAAACGATCAATAACTTCAAGTTGATTTTTAGAGAAAATTTTATTGAAATAACATAAATATCACACAACACATCTAATCCAAGAAATAACTAAGTAGTTAGAGAATACATCCGATTTCGTAATGTTGAACATTGGAAGAATCAGCTCCTCACCCACATCCTCAAGATGGTAACGTCTAGATGCAAAAAATATAAATATCAATTTTTATATCTGAGTTGTTATAGAATATGTTTCATAGATAATTTCATGCATCAGCACTTCATATTTGTTATGATTCCTATTCATTTTCTTGATTCGGAGTAAAGGTAGTTCATAATGTAAGCTTCTTTACATAGATTAGAAGTATTTCTTAATTAAAAAAATCGTAAAAATGCAGTTTTCTTAATCTCACATCTTTTACATTTGAGATTAAGAAAGTATAAGCTAACAATGTATTGAACATCATGATGACATATGTCTTATTATTTTTTTTGAAATGTGAATAAACATCATTTGATTAATGACAATGGCATATTTTAATATCTTTAATGTGTTACTCTTTCTTCTTTCTGGTTTTCTTTGCTAAATATATGACTTTCCTTGATTTTACTCGAATGTCATTCTCACACATATGTTACCAGCTGACAAGTAACAACACAATAATCCATAATTTAATAATAAAATAGCTCAGTAATGAGTTATATTGATCTTTATTTGCATGCAAATAAAATTTACGATATTTCAGTTTTTTTCTTTGTGGCCGCTGTTTGTACAGTTGTTCCTTGGTTGATACGATTTGCTCGTTGCAGATGAACTATCTCTAAGAAATCGGTTCGAAATTTTTTAGAGAAAAATCCATATACTAAAGACAAGAAATGCACAATATCTCATCTAATAAAAAATTCATCTTCAAATAAAACATACCGTAGAATTGAGTACAACAGTAAGTATAGTTTAATAAAGGTTGAATAATAAAGTTAATAAATGATTCAATAGCCACCCGTATTGGAGTTTTATTTGATGTAATTGGAACTGTTAAAAAGTTATATAATGTAATGCATGGAAATGGACATGTTGTTAAACAAAACATCACTACTTCACCAAATAACATTTTGATCAAGTCATGATCACGTTTATGTATATGAATATCACGAGTTTTGTCGCCATCAATAGGTTTTACACGCGAACGAATCATTGTTAAATTGTGTCGAGCAAGAAAACTAAATAAAATCATCAATAATGGAGGAAGAATTGCAATGAACGTAAGAGAATAACTTGTGTAAGCTAAATTATATGATGGATTAATTGCACAACAACCTGAACTATTGTTGAAAAAGAAGAGTAAAGGAATAGCCATCAGTATCGAACCTATGATAATAGAAGAAACGATACGAAGGGCTATTTTCGATTGAGAAAATGATTGAATCTTAATATTTTGTGAACAAAGTGCCCATCGATCAATACATGCAGCGATCACTAAAATGAAGATATTTTAAACCAATCTTATTGGAAAGAGAAGTGATTCCTTTAACTAACTTACAGAAGTTGCGTGATGCTATAAACAAGACATGTGCTCCATACCATCGTAATTTACATAAAACATTTGATATGTGTATGGGTTCAATATGATCCAGACCATACAAGGATGAAATAAGCACAGTGTTAATAACAAACCAATTAGCAAGTGCTGCACAAAGTAAATAAAGTGCACATGAATTAGCTCGTTGCTTCACTGTGCGTATTAATATCCATGTTGTAAATAAATTACCAAAATTACCAAGCGCAAGTAATATTGGTATAACACAATGACCTAACTGTAATCGAATATTGTTTATTGTTGCTACCGACATGATAAGTAATTCTTATGGCTTGTTGAAGAGTAAATGAATTTTACTTTAAAATCAAAATAATCAGTAGTAATGCACATGCAAGCTTATAGAGTTCTTCCCGGCACTTCTCTTGTCAAACATGACAGATATTCAAAGTCACAATTTTTTAATCTTCGAAGTAAAGCTTTACAATTACAATATTAAGAGAACATCTATAAAATCATCACGCATATCAACTGTTGAAATTTTTATAACTTTTCAACGATGTTGTGAGAAATCTCGTCAGTCGTTATGGCTTTGTTTAAATGAACCAACATGTCAAAACTCATAGACTTCGATTGTTTTTTTATTTATAAAATTTTTGGCGACAAAATAAACTTTACATATAAGTTTTATAGATTATCAAAAGAAGCATCTTTCGTATGGGAAAACTGGGAGGATGCGTTTATAAATTTCAGTATGTTATCGTTTTCTGTGGTCACCCATACTCTCATCCTTCATTCTCAAGATGGTTAGTACTTTAATTTTGTCTTACCAAAGATGAACATAGAAATTCTAATCAATGTATGAAAATAATCTGATGATCGTGATTCTTTCAATCCAAAGATTATTATACTTGGAGTAGTTCTCTTTTTCTCTCCACTTTTGAATATTTATTCAAAGAAAAATGTATTAAACTAGGGTGTGTGTGATAAGGTCAATTTAAACAACCACACTCACACCCTCAAGATGTATCTCTTCATTTTCTAGCCAAGATCCTTCCAGGCTTTTTCAAGGAATTAACAGGTTGATTTCAGAGACATCGCTCATTTAGACGATCTTCATCACATGGATAGCAGTAGAAGCATTCAATTGCATTTGACGTGCCTTCAATGTAAAGTATTTTCAACAAAAAAACAACATTGAGGTAGACACAATAAATTGACGGTTTTCCTATTACGTCAAAATTAAAAAAAAATTCTATCATATGTAAACTATTGTCTATTGTAAATATCAACAAACTCTAGTCAACATAAAAACATGATTTTTGCAAAAAATAATAAGAAACCATTCAGCTAAAATTTAAAGATCGGTGCGGTTGTGAATGATGATAAGAAACAGAAACTCACACCCACATCCTCAGCCAACACGCACTCGATCCAAGTGTAATCCAAGTAGGACAGCCAGAAACAACGCTTCTTTACCATTTTTCAGGGGCTGTTATTTGCATACGTGGATATTTATCTTTTTTTTTATTTTTTTATTTTTTCTCGTATTCCAGCAGTATCATCTATTAATAAAACGACAAACCTCAGTGCAAAGTATTAAAAATACGGTGCACTGAGTGTAAATATTTGCTATTTCATTTATCCATGTAAGTTTTCTATCATAGATATGATACGAAAAAAAAAAAGAAAAGAAAAAACAGAAAAGGAAAAAAAGAAAAAGAAAGATAAACGAAAATAATCATTTTGCTTTCATTGCGCGCACTCATACTATCTGTCCAAAATATTCAACAATCGACCATGAGTGGCGATACTACTGGAGAACTCTATTTTTTTAGTCACACCATTGACGACTGTCCACCATGGGTTGATGCAACACCTGCATTAGGTGATTTAACCTCGAATTTCATACGAACACCAACACATGTTACAATTCACGATTTACGTGGCAAAGAAAATAGTGTCGAGATCGACACTAATGGTTTTGAAATACTCAAATATAATGGTAGCATACACGATGAATTCGACAACGACAGCGAAATGCAACGACATTGTTATGAAGAAATTGCTGCTCTGCTCAAAAAGCGTCTTGGTGCATCCCGTGTGATTATCTTCAATCACGTATTCCGCTTTCGAGCAGTTCCACGTACTGCTGATCAATGTGATGAAAATCGCAAAAATCCTGTTTACTTTGCGCATGTGGATAATGATCCACCAGGAGCTCGATTGAAAGTACAGCAAGTACTCGGAGAAGAAGAAGCTAAAAAAGTTATGCAGAAACGCCTTCAAATTATCAATGTTTGGCGGCCAATGGGTCCTAATCCAATAATCAACATTCCTTTGACCATTTGCGACTATCGCTCTTTAGATATCGATAAGGATATACATCGAGCAGAAACTCGAGGATCTTCCAATAGTTCCACGAACTATATGATCTCGTGCAATACCCAAGGTGCTCAAAGATGGTGTTATTTGAGTTATATGCGATCCGATGAAATGTTTATTTTTAAAATCTTTGATAGCAATCCAGAGAGTGCCCAATTTGGCGCACATACGGCTTTTATCAACGAGCATGCGTCTCAAACAGATGTCGAACAAAAAAGTCTTGAAATGCGCTGTCTTGTTTTATATGATGAATAAGAAATAAATTCTTTAGAAACTGAAAGCGTTGAAAATTCATTTACGTGTTCTAAGGAGGTTCTAAATTAGTAACAATTCAAAGTCTCAGACTATGTTATACTTAGTTATTGAATTGCACCCACACCCACACCCCTGTCATCACAGTTTGTGAGTAATTTCAATGGAATCTAGAAAAAGCATTCTTGTGATCAAAAGACGAACATTAATTACGAATAAAAGTCGCTTCAATCTCAGGAAATACTTTCCATGAAGGTAGTAAATGCATCTTCATCGAATCTTTTATTATTTGGAATAATGGTTAGGGCGTAATCATTGAGTGAACATTCATTTTCTAACGTTTCGAGATAAACTTGCATACTAGAATTTCTAAGATCAAAGAAAATTGATTGTTTCATTTTCATGTTTTCTAATGTATTCATTAGTGGGACATTGTTTACGATAATTTCACCATAGTTCAGTTGTACACGTGTATAAAAGAAGCACATAACAAGAATTGTAGTGAGTTTTTTAAGAAATCGTTTTAATTGTGGAAGAAATGTAAAACGAAGATAATTCAATTTTATTTCAAATGGTTGTAAAAATATTTTTAATGATTGAAATTGAATAAATTCAGAATAACATTTCTCATATCGCCAAAGTGAAAGGATATAATTATTTGCTGAACAAGGTGACTTATTCAATAAATGTCTTTGTAAAGCAAGAAAAAAATTCAAATAATAATCATGAATTGATAAATCTTCTGTAACTTCAAGCGGAAAAGAAAAGATGATCTTTGCATAAAACAAATCAAACCATTTCTCACGTTCTTTCATATATTTGAAAAGTCGTCCGAGAACAGACAATATCGAAGTTTTCTCAGGAGTCCACTGTTTGATTATTCTACTAATAACCCATTGATCTTGTTGTTCTATTGGATCAATTGTAGATATTTGTTTTTTTGAATGTTTTATTTTTGATTTACGTTGAATATCTTTTTTTACAGTTGTAATTTGTTTTTGTATTTCGTTATTCTTTTGATACTTATTGTTAATATTTATTTGAAATGCTTTTTCATAACATTCTAATGCGTTTGGATAATCTGCAATTCTTTGATAAAGTCCTCCAGCAAAACGAAGACATTTGATCACTTCTTCGCTTTCTATATTTTGACAAAATGGTTTTAAATAATCTTCATATAAAGCTAACCATAGTGTGGGTAATTCGTCCCATGATCTATAACTTTGAAATAAATAAGAAAATGATGAACGATTTGATTGAATTTTAGAAACAGACAGAAGTTCAGTTTTATATATTTCAATTGCTTTTCGTGACCAATATAAATCGTTAGAAAAACAATTATAGAATGTTAAATGTAATGGTTGAGGATCACCATTTAGGTAATGTTTGCCCCATTGACGTTTTAAAGCCTGCCACCACTCATCCCAATTCGTTTGTTGAAATCTAGTTTCATTTTCAGCATTGATTTGTAACATTTTTAGAATATCATCATAAATTTGTGGATCCGGGTTTTTATTAATTTGTTTAACAATATTCAAATAATTATAGTGGCTCTTGCTATCTGCTTCGATGACGATTTCAAGTATAATAGGAGTCCATTGACGGTCAGAATCGTAAATTGGATCTTCAATTGATCGAATACGAAAATGTCTTCCTGGAGAGAAAAGTATTTCTTGCTCACTTTCCATAGCAGAATCACAAGATATATTTCCAAACAATTCATATGAATCAATCGATTTTATCTCGTTTTGTTTATCATTATATTCATCCGTAAGAATAATTTCAAACAGACAATTAATCATATTATTCGAAGGGCAACCAGAAAAATCCATGGCTACTTGAGGATCAAGTGATGTTGAGCCAAATGTTGTTAATGTAATAATAGGATTATTAGATTTCCAAACAAAACGAAGAAATCCTAATTCATCTTGACTTAAATATTGTCCTCGATATACAGCTCGAACAGGAAAATCAATTGAAGTAAAATATTGTTGATAATATTTAACTAATTGAGAAATTAAATCATTGATAAAAGGACCAAATTTTTTAATTGTTTCCATATCTTGTGTACGTAATGCATGATTAATAATACGATAGAGAAAATGATCGCATGTATATTCACGAATAAGATTACAACTTTCATATCTCTCTTGAAATTTATTGATTACGTCTATCATATGATTATTATTATTTGAATAATAAAGACGACATTCATCGAACATTTTTTTATAATATTCTTCTGAATATTTAGAACGATAACAAATAATTGTAAGAAATAAATGATACCATTGAGATTCATCTGTCAAAGCTTTTTGAAAAGATCTTTCTGTAAGAGACCATCGATGACTCAATGTATTAATATCATGATGAAGCTGTTTTAATAATTCTATTGAATTTGAAACAATTCTCTCGGTAGTTTTATTTCTTTTTGTCCAATCTGTATGTTTATCGTTTGATTTGCAATAAATATAAAAACTAATTATCCGTTGTTTGTTAACAAATTCATCAACTTGTTCTTGATTTAATTTATCGGAAATAATTAAAAATATATTCGTAGAATTGATCAGTTCACAGATTGTTTTAATATCTTTAAATGATCGTACAAGATCCTTGCTAATGAAACGTGGCAAGTTTTCAAATAAATCATCATCATCATCTATACCAATAATTAATACAAGATATTCATCAAATTTATTTTCTCGTCTATCATTGAATAACTGTGAACCATCTTCTTCAACTGCTGTTACTTTTGCCATTATCGTTTTTTGCTTTATACTGAAAGTAAAATAATAAAAAAATCTATACTCATTTTCATGGAGTAAATATGATAATATTCCAGACTCATATAAATCGGAGGGCAATTTCTATATCAAATTACTGTCTTATAATGTATTAGTGATCACGAGCATTTTTTCTTTTCTCCTCTTCAGCATATTTCTTTTGGACAGATTTTTTTTCATCTCTTCATTCACATTGTGTTCTCTATCTTTTTATTTTACTTTATTTTACAATACCGTCCTTTCTCTCTTTTTCTTTTTCACATATATGTGTATTTGATTTAGTGTGAAGGTCTTGCTTTTTGGTTTTTATCTTATCATATATACACATTCTCAACGTTACAGACAAGTTCACATAATGTGCTGATTATTATAAGGTGTAAGTAGGACGAGAGGACACCCAAAGCTACACCCACTCATCCTTGAGTACTGGTAACATTTTCACTTAATTTTCACAGACATCGTTATTCTGACGATGTATGCATGACTTGCATACGAAAACTTGAGTCATTTTTTTTCTGTTAGAAATAAAACTATTTTTTCCTTTACGCATTTATTTTACATATCATTTCAACTTTTAGTGCCTGCAAATATTTTCTCGTTTTAATAAAATATAAATCCAGTAAAATGTATACATATAAGTGTTTAATAATCTTCTATGTTTTATTGTTTATCAACAACTGTCGTTGATTGATCAAATTGAAGTTCAAATTTGTCTTCACCTTGATATTTCTTCGTTTTGACATACCATTTACCATGGAATAATTGCTTTTGGGAATCCCATTTAAGTTGGATGTTCACTGTATGTCCCAAATTCTGTGATGAATTTCCTGTACCTTTTTGATATTTTTTCGTGAGAGCAATTCGACGAGTATTAAGCGAATATATACCATCGATAGAAAATTCACCAACATCGTCTTCCCCTGAACCTGTCACTTTTTGTTGTTTGTGGTTAAAGAAAAGTGAAAAAAGATGAGGTCCATGCCATTGTTTATATTGAAAATAACGACTTATCCATTGACCTGATGAAAAAAGACTGTCCGAGCTCTTCACATTAGTCTCATTGTCAGTTGAATCAACTTCATTAACGAATGTTACATTTGACAAGTGTGATGTATCATCGGATAGAACCCAATTGCGTATTAATACGATAATATATATTGCAAGAGATGCACCTACTAATGAAACTATAACAGTATAATTTTCATTTAATATTTTTATTAATGTATTCCAAAGGAGAAGAATGATCTCGTTATCAAATATAAAGATTAAAAGACCAACTATAACAACTAAAAGAAAGAAAATAAATTTCAAGTATTGGTTTGAAAAAAAAAGTATTTTTTCAATCATGTCAGTTTTCAAAAATGATTTCTTTTTTGAAATTAGATTACGATATTATTCAATTGAAATACATACATAATAGTTTAATCATACCACTGTAATCATCATCACTATCATGATCACCACTGTCATAATCATCATCGTCATAATCATCACCTCCACCGCCTTGACAATGGATACTAAATGTAAATATAGCAACGATTAATAATACATGAAAGATAATGTGCATTGTAAGATTGAGAAAGGATGTCGCAATAGGTGGACGAAAAACAGTGATTGATTCTAAAAGACAAAAACATTATATATTAAATGAGTTTCGGTAAATTAATGTTAGAATTCTGTTGTTATCTTGAAATTATTTTTTTACTTACCAAAAATGTCAACACAAATATTCAGGTGTAATGATGCACAGGTGTTATTTATATGAAAGTTTGTCTACAACATGTCTCATATTATTGTCATTTATGACAATAAATGACGTGTATATATTTCATCATAAATAGTTCATTGATTCATCATTTCGTTGACACGTCACTTCGTCAACAAGACACGTTGTCGACTAAACACTAACAGAAAGGCTAATAAACAGTAAACGATCAAAAAATTTAAGTTGATTTTTAGCGATAATTCTATTTAAATAACATAGATATCATATAATACATCAAATCCAAAAAATAAGTAAGCATTTAAAAATGAGTGACAATAACAAAATATCTCAAGATTTATGAATAGATATCAAGGCCATGTATACAATTATTACTTTTTTTAGCAATCAAAAGTGAAAGTTTTTCAAGCGAACATCGTTTTTCTTTATTTTTCTCATCTTCACGTGTTGAATAGTTTGCTTTACATAAATCTCTTCCTTTTGAAGAACTTGAATGAAGTGACAGATATTAGGATGTTTCTTTTTAATTCGATGGACAATGTGGTTATGCCATCCTATAGTAATTTAAATTATAACAAAAAACATCACAAACAAAGAAAAATCTTGTCCTCGACAGTATTATTAAATCTAATGTTAAGGTCTGAAACATTCCACGATTTAAGTGATAGCAGTTCCATCCAAAAAAATTCAGAATAATCAAATAGCGGATCAAAACAATCTGGTTAATCGTTGGAAAGATATTCAAAGACAGATATCACTTTGTGGATTCATAAAAGTGAAAGATTCATCAACTTTCGTGCACTTAATCTTCAGGTGGTGTGGATGGGTGTGGGTATCTTCTTTCTCAGTAGACACCCAAACTCTAACCCACACCCACCCTCAATTTGGTTTTTATATAAGATACCTCTACGGAAAATATTTGTTCAGAACTATCTGTGTGAAACAAAAGATTCAATTAAAAAAAATCATTCATCAAGTCTAGAGTATTTCTTTTCTTTTCTTTTTTCTTGTAAAACTTTGTAATGGATATGACCAGATCATATCACAGTTACCGTCAAATCATATTTTCCATTATTTCGGAGAATTAATGAAGGTCTATGATTTTGTATCGTATGTAGACATAAGAAGAAATGTCCGATATTTAAATCAATAGAATTAGTTTTCTTTTTTCATCGTCTCCAACGATTATCATTTATCAGTATTTGTACATTTTTGTTATTGTAGATCAAATTCAATATTCAGTAAACTGAAAGTAACAAGAAACTATTTTTCTAATTATCGTTGTGTCTGTAATGAATAATTACCTATTCATTTCTTTTATTTTTTTTTGTGAAATCTGATTTTGAAAATATCATACATCGCAGTGCTTGCCATGACTTTAACGAAATTATTTAGATAGGATATCTTCTACTAGAAAAATCAGAACACTGATTCATGAAATATAATTAAAACTGTTACTTAATATGTTGTTAAATAAGAGAAAAACACTAATTATTAGTATAGCATTTGTGTTTTCTTTATATTCGAGCACATCACAATATTTTACTGTTCATTCTAAAATCAGATTGAGGCAATGGTAGATTTTAATAAACGAGCGTTTTGGCATTTTACATTTAAAGACATATTAACTATTCTATGTTCAGCTGCTATACCTATAGCTCTTGCTATTTATACTGCAATTGGGTCCGAACAACAAAAACAGCAAGATGAGAAAAAACAAAAGTTTGATTTTAAACAATCAACACAATTAAGACAACAAACACTTTATGATGAATTTTTAAATAACATTTTTAAATTAGATTATTATGGTTATCTGAAGGAGAGAAAAAATCCATGGGCATTTGCCAATGCATATTATCGTGCTGCTGATCGTCAATGGGATACAATACGCAAAGCAGATGTTATACAATTTTTGAAAGAAAAACAATTAATTGGCAGAAATAATTGTACGAATGGATGTAAGACAACGAATTTAGTTGACATAATCCGTTTGAATGAGTTAAATTTGGATAATACACGTCTAGCAAGTCAAACTGGTGTATTAAATAAATTGAATTTACAATGTGTTTCTTTTGATCAGGTATCAATGTCAAATGGGGAGTTTTCATCTGTTAGTTTAAATGGTGTATCATTTGATGGAGCCCGGTTAGATAACGTGAAATTTGATGATACATCTTTACTTTGTGCTAGTTTTAACGGTGCAAATCTAACAGGTGCACACTTTTCAAACAGTGATATGACAGGTGCTAAAATAACGGAAGATCAAATAAAACAGGCATCTTTTTATAATGTAACTATGCCAAACGGAAAGAAGAGTGAAATTAAATCCTCAACGACACCGAAAAAACCTATAACACAAACAACCATAACAACAATAAAAACAAAAAGGTCGACAACAACATCATCATCATCATCGTCAACAACAGCAACAACATCCACTACATCATCAACAACAACATCAATAACAACAACATCAACATCAACAATATCATCAATAATGACTTCATCAACAACATCCACCACATCATCAAGAACTTCATCAACAACAACATCATCATCATCATCAAGAACTTCATCAACAACATCATCATTAACAACAACAACATCCACCACATCATCAACAACCTCAGCAACAACAACAGCAACAACATCATCAACAATATCCACTACATTAACAACTTCAACAACAACAACAACTTCAGCTACATCATCAACAGCTTCATCAACTTCATCGACAACAACAACAATATCCACTACATCATCAACAACTTCATCAACAACAACAACAATAACAACAACCACTACATCATCAACAACAACAACAACTTCAACATCAACATCATCAACAACAACAACAACTTTAACAACAATTAGATATTCTCAAGATTTTGAATCAGGTGTCATCGCTTCAAGTCAATGTAGAGTGTGGAGAAATTTTATAGATCAATTAACAAAACACAATTATAGGCTTTTAAAAATAAATGGCTCACTCGATTCAGTAGGCGTCTCTGTTTTTGATCCAACTGTTATTTCAAAGATAGCATTGGCTTTGAGAACTTCATCAGTATATGGACCAGTGACGTCAAACAGACGTTCATGGGCAGTTAATACAAGTGCACATTCAAAAGCATATAAATTGAGCGCTAGTGGTGATCCCAATGAGTGTCAGAATCCCGGGTATATAGTAAGGCCATGTATTGACAATATTAACTGGGGTGGAATAAATGGTCTGACGTGTAATGCTGCAAGTCAGACTATGTCCGTCATATTTCAGTATTAAAGTATCGAATTCTAACTCAACGTTCAAGTATATGCTTATAATTATTCGTTTCCAAAAAAAAAACATTTGAAATTATCCTCTCAACAACACCCAAACTTTTTGTTACCAAAGAAAACTAAAAAATTGTGTGTTCAAATAATTTTTTAATAGCATTTTGTTTTTAATATTCTTTTGTGAATCTAATGAAAAAATAAATGGTTTTAAAATATGCGTTACAAAAGTACAGGCGCAATATAAGTTACAGACACATGATTCGAGAGTATGAATATAGGTATGGGTATGGATGTGAATATGCAGTATTTCGAATAGTCACAGTCACACCCACCATTGCGTTTGAACATCAGTAACATACTTGAGAGCGTGGGTATGAGTGGACGCTGTTGAAAAAAACATGATAGTCACACCTACACCCGCACTCGCATTTCAGGCATTTTATTGGAAGTGTTGATGAAGATATCTTGAGATTGGATGTAGGATCGGTATGCATTAAGAGAAGAGATACTCACACCCTTCAAGAAAAACCTTTGATCATCATGTCTAAGAGTATTGAATTGATCAATGAAGTAAAGAGAATTGAATAGATTATCGGCATCTATTCAATGTCAAATGAATATTAAAGTTATTTTCATGATGAAGATCTCTTATCTATGGGAAAAAGATTTTCTTCGTTCTTTTACTACCTTCTGATATTTATTGACATTGACTCATATTGTTTTGTATAAATAAATATACAGACAATGTGATAACAAATATTCATGTCTTTTTTAAATTCTTCAACACATGGCAACAGCAAACGTTAGAGTACAATGTTCTATCTGTAATAAAGGAAACACGACATATATTTGTCGTGGATGTTCAAATGATTTTTGTTTTCAACATTTAACAGAACATCGACAAATTCCTAATAGACAATTAGATGAAATTATCAACGATCACGATCAATTTCAACAAACAATTATTCAACAAAAACAAAATTCTTCTTTAATTCAACAAATTAATCAATGGGAAGCAAATTCTATTCTTCAAATTCAACAAACAGCAAAAGAATGTCGAGAAACAACGATGAAATTAACACAAAAGTCAATCAATAATATTGAAAAAAAGTTTACTGAATTATCTCAGAAATTAAAAGAAATTCGTCAAGAAAATGAATTTAATGAAATTGATTTAAATCATTTCCAATTAAAATTAAAACATATTACAGAAGAACTTCTCAGTGAGAAGTTCTCACACCATCAAATATTTCGATCAAAGAAGATTCACAAGAATTTATCAGGAAAATTTTAGTTATTTCATCATTAAGTATGTTTGTTCAAATATTTCATTTCGGGAAAAGAGAAAACGAAGTTTAGGTGAAGTATTTTTTCAAGTTTGATCCGACTACAAATTAATTTTGACGACGAGAGTAATGATGTCTCATTAAGGAATTAAATTAATTGGAGATTTAGAGAGAAAAGTTTCAAGTGTTGAAAATGAATAAATATAAGATCGAGAAAGAAGTCTAAAAATACCTCATATCTAAATGATTTGAATCTGTATTTTGAGGATATACTGAGATCTGTCAAACTATTCCAATATGAAAGCAATGCGTCAAAATTATTACTTATGAAAAAGGTTAATCAGTTTATTAGACAGTGTCAAACGTCAAATATATATATAAAGATATTTTAATTGAAAAATCAATTAACAATTTTTTATAAGATCATCTCTTTTTTTGTCTTTTAAAAGATTTATTCTAATATTAAATTTAAATTTAAACGAATTTCTGAGAATAAATAAAATTTTTAGATGTATTTCATTTGAAAAATCTCATTTAATATTTTAATGAAAAGATTGTTTTGTTTTTAAATTGTTCTTTAAATTTAAGTTAAGTTTAACTCTTTAATTTAGAACTTTTAAATAAAAAAGTATTTAGTTTATTAATAAAAAACAGAAATTTTTAATCGATTTTCATTCAAAGACGATTTTTCGATATTAAACTTTTATCAAAATCAAATTAAGAGTTGTTAATTGAAAAATCTCAATTGAAAGAAAAAATTATTTAAAATTAGTTTTGTTCATTAAAAATTAAATTTAAAAAAAAGAAAATCTTTTATTTTAGAAAAAATTCAAACAAAAAAGATTAAATTTCAACAATTTGCAACTACTGTTGCTGGAGGAAATGGTGAAGGACAGAAATTGAATCAGCTCAATGGTCCTCAAGGGATCTTTATTGAGAATGATAAATCAATTTATATTGCTGATACTGAAAATCATCGTATTGTTAAGTGGAAATCGAATTCAAATACTGGTCAAATCATTGCAAGTGGAAATGGAAAAGGAAATCAAAATTATCAATTGAATGATCCAATTGATTTAATTTTCGATAAAAACAATAATTCTTTTATTGTTTCTGATGCTGGAAACGGCCGAGTAATTCGATATTTTGATCAAAATCAACAAATTATCATTTCAAATATTGTTTGTTATGGTCTGACAATTGACAAAAATGGATTTATCTATGTTTCTGATTTGATGAATGATGAAGTAAGACGATGGAAACAAGGAGATATAAAAGGTGAACTAGTTGCAGGTGGAAATGGTCAAGGAAATAGTCTTAAACAATTGTCTTTTCCTCGAGGAGTGATTGTTGATCATTTAGGTCAAATCTATGTGGCCGATCGTGTGAATAATCGAGTAATGCGTTGGTGTGAAGAAGATGCAGAAGGTAAAATTCTTGTTAGTGGAAATGGTGAAGGGAATGAATCAAGTCAATTGTATGGTCCCACAGGTTTATCATTTGATAATGAAGAAAATCTTTATGCTGCCGACGAATATAATCAGCGAATCCAGAAATATGAAAAACTTTGAAATTAAAAATATTTTTAATTTAATTTGATAAAATTTGGATTTTTATTTTCGAAAATAAATAAAAAACATTATTTTATGGGAAATGTTCAACAAAAATAAATAAATTTGTTTTTCATTTTTAGAAAAAAGACAAATAGATATTTATGAACTTTAATTTTAAATTAAAAAACCAAAATAAAATAAAAAAATTTGGAAGAAAATTCATTTTATAGAAAAATCAAATAAAAGATTTTTCAGATTGAGGAAAACATTTAAATTAATAAAAAAAACTTGTAAATAGAAATTCTCTTCGATTTATTTTTGTGATTTATAATTTTTTGAAAGGAAGGGAAGAGAGAAGAAAAAAGATAAATGAATAAGAATGAAGTCTGTAAAATCGAAAAACTAGATTAAGAAAATCGACCTTTTAAAATAAAAAATTCTTCTTACATTTAAATATTAAAAAAAAGTAAAAAGAGTTCATTAAAATAAAAATAAACAAAAAATCAAATTTGTTTCATTTTATTAAAAAATCAAAATTGAAGAGAAAAAATAAATTCGAAATTTCAGTTGTTTAATAAACAATTTCTCGTTTATTTAAATATTTTTAGAGAAGAAATTTTCAAATTCCTTTGTAAAGATTTTATGAAATTGTTTTTTGATTTTTCTCCTTGGAAAAGAAAAAGTTTTTTGCTTAATGAAAAATTTTGTTTAATCTTAAAATATTTGAAGGTGTTGGTGTTGTTAAGAAGAGGCACCGACACTCACACCCTACACATATAGGTAGATGAATATATTTGATGTATTCACTATATATCGACATTTTGAATTATTATACAAAGGTAAATATATGATATCTGAGTAGCTGTTGATTTTTTATACACGTAGGTAGATAAATATACTTAATGTATTCATTATACATCGACATTTTGAATTATTATACAAAAGTAAATATGTGATATCTGAGTAACTGCTAAATTTTTACACATATAGGTAGATAAATATACTTGATGTATTTATTATATATCGAAGAAAATGTGCTTCTAAATATAGAAAGATATAACTATCAACACCTACAGCTTGAAGAGGATTTTCTATATCAATAACATATGGACTTCCTCTGGAAAAATTAATTAATAACTCTTTGCAAGAATTGAATTGATTTCCTACGACATTTCTACCAGCACTAATTAAAATATTAGTGAATCAAATATTCTTCTGATAATCCTTAAGCAAGGACGAAATCATGAACATATTCTTTCAAAAATGGTATAAATTGTGGTGGACAAATAAAACAATTCGCTGATGTCAATTTTTGCATTCTCTTGTCTAAACCGACTCTCGCTACACTCTTCTTTGTCTTCTTATTATTTATTTTTGTTCTACAAAATTAGCACAACAGAGGCAGCAAAACATATAAGGAAGTGCAGCGATAAAAGGTATGGCCATAACACTACTAATAATCAGCATGATAAAGGCAGGTTGAAACACATCTTTTTGACAGTAATTTTCAGCATTTATGTCAGCATATTGTATTTCCTTGTATGGGACAAAGATAAAAAAAACACCCCATACATAGAAAGCTATCGCTGCTCCATATCCAAGAGCCATGAGTCCTAAAGAAAATATTTTTCATTTATTAATCAATAATAATATTATAGTGAGATGTAGATCATTCTTATAGAAAATCTATGACATAATAAAGATATGAGGATAGGTATGGACGAAAAAAAGTATTTTCATCATCCGTTCAAGAATATCATTTATCGACATACTTCATACTTTCATTCACACTAATACGCCCTGCATCGAATATATATATATCAATTTAAGTTGTACTTGCCCCTCAAAATTCATAGAACTAAATAGATGAAAAACAACGTCTTTGTACAGTGAAAATAACAGTAATTCTATCGTCACACACATTAAGAACATTCTATATGCAAAGTACTTACCTAACGCGGTGTTTCTCTGCGATGTTTTCTCAACTTTCACTTCTTTTCGACCATTTGCGTATGTTGTTGTAGTGGTGGTTGTAGTAATTTTGTATTGTTTTGTCACTTTCAGTATATATGTAGCCCATAAAAAAGAAACAATTGCGATAATTTCAGATACGCCAGATCCTATAAGATGCAAGCGAACTCCATCAGTGCACGTGGTCTTTACGCTCCAATGTCGAAAACCAATGATCGTCTGTGCAATTGCAACAGAAAGGTCAAATAGAACAACAACGAAAAAAATAACAATTACTATGTTATTCATGTTGAAGAGAAAAGACAATACAGTATAAATGACTACTCGGTGCAGACAAAACCACTAAATATCTTACAAACGTATTTCTTACTGTAGTTGAAAAAATAATATCCACTTGTCTAATCGTTTACCACTTGAATACTGAAATTTATTCTACCAACAAAATTCTTTTACGCGACTCAATAGACTTTTATTACAGGAGAATAAAAAAAAAATACTATGCTATGAAATAAATATGGCCTTTCAAGATTATTGTCGGAAGAAGAAAGAAGAATACTGAAAGATCAACGATAAAAAAATTAAAGACTTATTCGTTGTCAAAGAATAAATTTCGATGAAACGAACCAAAAAAATCACACTATCAATATGACAAAACCAGCTTATCTTGGGAGAGTAGACGTCTTCTTTATCCACACCCTGAAGGAATTTGAAATTTTGAAGATCTTGACATAAGAGACCTGAGATCATTCTAGAAGAGCAAGTCATCATCACAACCCGACTCAACATGGTCAATTACCTCTATGTTGATTCATTTTGAAGAGATGCAAGATCAGCCTTACATAAATTTTTAAAGGATATCTAGATCATCTCTGAGATAGGTGTGGGTGTGACAGTATATAATTCTCGATACCCACAGCGACATCCACATACACGCACACCCAGATCCTCAAGATGTAAGAGCTTATTGATGTAGAATATTAGACAAACAACAGAATTAAGATGCTCTGTAAATATATCATTCATGTGCAAATTATTAATTTTGCATTATTAGTCAAAACTCAGTTGATTTATGTGAATATGTTCATTAGAATTTACATTAATGTCACAACATTGAATTTTATTTCAACATGAAAAGAAATTAAATATATATATTCATAAGATGTCTTAATTGTTTATTTTATTTGGAAATGTCGTTATTCCAACTGTGAGTGTGACCTGTTGCAGTGGTTGTACTTGGTTTGATCGTTGCCAAAAGAAAACTTTCTCTCTCACTGTTCGACGAAAACGACTTGACGAAATAAAAAACATGTAACAACTTCCCTAAAAAGAAAACAATAAATCAATAAAAATCTCCGTTAAATGACTAAACATACCGCATAGTAAAAATAAGTCAATAGACTGATCATTGTCGAAGCAAAATATTCACTCATCAATCGATCAGCATTTTTAGCTACTCCAACTGATGCTAAACTGTAAGCATTATTTATACCATATGGAGTAATAGTAAATACAACAAGTACAACTTCAATCAAAGTCATTCGTATCAATTGACGATCAGCTTGTTGTTGAGCAAGAACTTTTGTTAAATGAATATTACGATAAGTCAAATATCCAAATATAATCATTATAATAACTGGAATCATACAAGTAACAGTTAGAACATATACTATTACATAATAATTATAAACAGCATTAATATTTACACACGTCTTTGTAACTGGTGAAATATCAAAGAATATCAAGCAAGGTATTGTATGAATGCAACCGACAATGACAACAATCAATACAATGCGATGTGCTAATATGATATTACTTAGAGAACGCAAATAAGCATTTCTAGATGTAAGTAAAAATTGATCAATTGTAGCTAAACATGAACAAGTAATTGAAATTAAACTGAACACACCAATGAGATATTGTCGAGTTCGACACCAAGTTGATGATGTACGAGTCAAATCAATTCCATAACCTGCACTAACAATACGAGAAATAAGATTAATTATTATATAAATCACATTGATAATTGAAGCAATAAGAAAATAAAATGTACAAGGTGATTTACGATAAGTACGAACACTTGAAAATACTAAAATATTTATTCCATTTCCAATCACACCGACGACAAGAAGAAAGAATCCAAGATAAATTGTCACTTGTTGACTAATGTATAATAATGACATAATAATTGTTTACACTCTAAATGACGATAGATAATTTCTAAAAAATAAATGTGATCGAAGAAACTGATTAAAATAAGTTAATCTTCACAACAAATAATAGTCAACTATTACTTGTAGAATCTTATGTGAATATATCTAGATAGTGTATTGCGCTATTCATCATCATTATCTGATGAAATCCACCGAGAATATCAACATAGCAGAAGACTATAGATTAAACACTGATTGTATATACAAAAAAATTTGATTTCTATAAGAAAAATTAATAATTATAAGAACAAACCATCTAAATAAGAAGAACAGAATGACTTTCATTTATTCTAGGATGAAATAAATTACGATTCAATTGTTTATTTTCATAATGATAAATTTGTTAATCAAATAACTCATTTTATGCCGACTTTGGTTGATTTTTTTAATTATCTTTCATTATTTATTAAAGTATATTTTTTTTTCTATAGTCAGTTACAATACATTCATTAGTTTTTTCTTATTTCATCTTCTTTTTACTCGATATCTTTAATGAAAAAAATAAAATAAATACACCACAAGATGCAGTATGAAAAGCTCTACAATTGAGAAAGAACCAGTTATAAAACAAGAGAATAAACAAAAATATATTATTTTCGTACAATTAAAATTTTATTGTTCAAAATTTCGTTATATTTTTTTTTCGTTAACTTGTTGTATTCCTCAAATGATTACAGCATTCCTTCACAAACACAGAACAGAAATTGTCTGGAATATTCTAATAGAGTCTCAAAGAAACACAGAACAGTATTATCAACAACAGCACGTACTCCGCTTTTTTTGCGGTTACATATTTCTTTCTCTTCCTTACGATTATTTTTTGTTCTGTTCTTTTTTTTTTCTTCTTTCTATTAATAGAAGTAGTAGCAACGATATGAAGGCCGAACGTCACGTGTAAAGACACGACAGCGACATAGAAGAAGTATGTGAGCGACGCAATTTTTTTTTCTGTACTCTTTGGTCAGAAATAGTTTATATTCTATCATTTAGTAAGTCGTGTATTTGGACGAACGCTTCATATCTTTATCTTTTGAAACAATAAAACGTCTTCAATGACTGAAGAAATTAACAACAACATTCAAACTATTCTCTACTCTTTACAAGCTAAAGTTGATCGATTAGAAAATGTAAACAAAGAATTAGAAGAGAAATTAATTCAACAGGACAAAAGTATCGATCAACTACTAACGAATGTTAACCTTCAAAAATCAAATTCTGCAACTTCAACTTCACGCCAAGAAGAAGAACATTTATTACTCGATAAAGAAGATGATGTAGAACAAGTTTCATATAGTTCAAAGACTAGTAAAGATAATACAAAGAAGCTTACAGTAGATAGATCAATTCATAATCTACCATTAGTCAATATACTGGGTACGTGAACAGTTTAAGTATAATCGAATGTTCAAGTAATTCTACTTCTACACATTTTTTTTTATTCAGGTATTATATTTCCTATTCTATCAGCCATTGCCATGCTTGCTGATTCTATCCTTCACATTATCTTTCACAAGTCTGACGATGATAAACAAAAGAATTATGCTGGTCTTATCTCTACGGTTTTAATTCTGTTTTATTATCTTCAATATGATGTCAAATTCAATTTAACTCATCCTCGTCTTTATATTCTCTATCAATTTTTAATTTGGTCACTTGTATTTACTGGTGATATCATATATGTTTATTATTATCATACAATGTTACATCGTCCCTTTATGATGTATACCTTTGTATGTTATGCAATTCTCGATACAGGTTATATTTTTACTATTGGATATTTAAAATTCAAAGGTTATCGTCAACACATGTTCATCATTACTATTCAAAGTATTTTTGAATTGATAGCTATGATGACAGAAATGCTAATCATCTTCATTCCTATTTTTGGTACACACGAAGCTATAACAACAACTTCGGTAACATTTTTTATGTTATATAAATTTCTTTCAGCAAGTTATACGGATGTTAGATTTAAAATATTCAAAATTAAGTCGTTTTTGTCTATGGATGTTGGTTCTCTTTTCAATACTTAGTGTTGTATTTGAATATTTTGTTTATGGATTTGAACAATTAATTGAAGAAAATACTAAAAATCATCAGAATTATCAAAAAAATCAAACATCTACATTATCATCATCTACTGATCAATATAAAAACACTGAAAATTATTTTGTTATAGCAAGAGAATTGAGTGAATTCATTGGAACAATAGCATGTTATTCTTTATTAATTTTACAATTTTTTATGAAAAAAGAACGAAAAAATAAATAAATAAAGATTTTGTTAAAAGTAACTCATCGATATCTTATTACTTTTAAGTGTAAAATACGTTGAAAAAATGAAAATAATCTGATTTTATGAGGTTTTTTCCAATTTTGACTATTTTCTGTAACTTTTATATTCGGATAGAACATGAAAAACTGCGTCGATTTGTATATAAATTGATTTTTTGGGTTGAAAGACAGTAATTTCAGAACTAAGATCAAAAGAACATTCTTTATTAGAATAGACTATTTTTCATTTAAATCACTTTTTTATGCAAAACAAACATTGAATTCGTGATCAGCATGGTCAATAACCTATATCTAGATGAAATAAGAATGAAAAAAACAAATTGTTTTTTTTTCTTGAATGAATGGGGCGAAAAAATGCCCTTACCGTCATTTGTCCTTTATAAACATAGACGATTGTGGCATCTCGATAGATCTTCTGATTGATTTTCTATAAAAGCAAAGGAAATAGTCTATTAGGAAAACAGCGTGATAAATATTGTTCTTAAAATAATATCAATCTTGATAGGTTATACTCAATTAGTTTTACACGTGATGCTAATAATCAAAGAATATTGATATTTTTGTGGTTGAAAGAACGTGAACTTTATATGAAGAACTGTTATTTACAGATAACTTCAACTTACTGTGCGACCTCAATGTGTATTTTCTATTTTTGAGAATCTAATTGAAAGAGAATAATATATTTTTCAATAGCCAAAGTGTTAACATTGACGTCATTCATTGAGCAGAAATTTATAAATTGAAAAAACGGTTGAAGTATGATGGATAGTTTAAATAAAGTGTATTTATGAATACATTAAGAAAAACAATATAAAAGATATATTACTCTTATTCTGTTTTATTATAACAACAAGTGATATCAATCATCAATTCAATATTATTACATTGATAAAAATGATGCGAACAAGTTTCTTCATGATTTTTCTAAGTATTATTATCAATATCGATTGTAGCAAACGTATCGGTACTATTCGTAATGCAATGTACACATCAGACAATGTCAGTATTGAAATAGCATACAAAGATACATGCTCTGAATGTATTTGCTATGCATTCTTCTATAATACATTTTCATTGTATGTTGGATTGAACTGCTTCACAAGTAATAAAACATGCACATTATTTACCAATTATTCCTCGTCATCAATCATACAGAATAATTTTGATTCAGACTTTATATTTATCCAAGAACCTCCATCGACAAACACGACAACAGGTAGTTAATTATTTCTATCTATCTATCTATCTATCTTAAACTCGAAGGGCTCTTCTTAAACATAGTTTCTGATTATATCTTTGAGATGATATAATTTCATTCTTTTGTTCTGTTCGTAAAAAAAGAAGATAATTAAGGAAAACCCCATTAGATCTACAGTAGCGCAATCGACTTCATATGGTAGATTATATTATGTGTATAGGTTTTTGTACTTTCGTATGTAAGTTTTGATTCATAACTTAAAATTTTTTTCGTGAACAAGACATCCGAAAAATAGTAATAAAAGAATAGTAGGATTAATCAATCGTTCATAAAATCCAATATGAATCGTCATCTACTGAAATGGATTGTTATGTCGATGTAAGTTTTTCAAAGATTGTATTTATGATAAGGTAAATATAACATATTCTAGTTGAATCTATCAATTTCTTTGATGTTGTTCAGATGTAATACAATAATAGCAACGTTCTATATGTGGCGTGCCTTGACAAAAAAAACTATTAACATTGCTGAAATTAGGAATTGAGTTAATCTAAGTTATATGTTTTTAATTAATGAATGAAAACGTAGTTATTCGAAATAGTTACTAACCATATCTTTATAAATTTATTATTCAATTGAATAATTTTAAGAATTTGTTTTAGCAACGACGATATATCCTGGAATGACAGTTGCCGGCAATGCGAATGGTGTAGCAGGCAATGGAAATCAGACACTAAATGGACCGCTCGATGTTTTTTTGAACGATAATGGAACCTTATTCGTGGCCGACTGGAATAATAATCGTGTTCAAGCTTTCCCCGCTGGCTCTCTAATAGGCACTACAGTTTCTAGTTTAACAAGTCATCCACAAGGACTCTTTATAGATAGCTTTTCGAATCTTTATGTGACTTGGGGTACTAAATATCAAGTGATAAGTCAACCAAGTGGTATTAGTGTTCCACCAATTGCGTCGTCGACTTGTACCTGGTCTATTTCTCTCAACGATGCATATGGAATTGCTGTTGATAGTTCGGGAAATATGTATGTGTCAAGTTCGAGCTGTAGTTTTATTACTGTGTGGAATGTGAACCGCACTAGTGCTACAAGGCTTCTAGCCGATTCATCATTAGTGAGCCAACCTCGACATCTCTATCTTGATGAAGATAATATGGTTATCTATATCGCTGATACGTTACATCATCGTATACTGAAGATATTTCTTAATAACAGTTTGCCTGCACAAACCGTTGCAGGTATAAATGGAGTATCCGGTAAAACTGCTGACAAACTTAATGGACCTGCAGGTGTTTGTGTCTCTCGAAATGATGGTACGATTTATATAGCTGATACACTCAATCACCGCATACAAAAGTGGCCGATGGGTGCATCGGCAGGAATAACTATTGCGGGCAATTCAAATGGTACTTCTGGTTCCAGTATGTATGCTCTTAATGGACCGTATGCTATTTATCTTGATAGTACCGAAACATTTGTCTACGTTGCTGATTATTACAATAACAGAGTACAAAGATTTCCCGTATCATAAATGTCATTTCTATCAAACACAAGACTTTTATATAGTTGTTGTCTTTATTTTATTTATAATCTTACAACAATAAAATAGTCTTGCACTTTCATAATATATTTTTTAATGTTTAGACAACACAGTTTGGTCACTTTTTACTAAGATCACTATCTAAATATAAATATGCGATGATCGTTCATCTTATGCCTGGAGGAATATAGTTATAGGTTTGGGTTATAACTTACTCCATCTACACCCACACCCTCAAGATGGTGGACATAGGTGCGTATGTACATATTATCATCATTATATGTGACAAATAAAAAGTGTGTGGGTTAGTTATCAAACAATTGCACCCGCATCCATAAAATATGGTGATGCGTGTATAATGATTGAATAGTATTGATGACAGTAACTTGACAGATATTTAATTTATTTTGTTTTTCACTCTTCATTTAATAGTTACAGGTAAAATTTGTCAGGTATATGAGTAAAAAAAGACATCACCTACACAGATCGTTTATTTGTTTTTCAATTCAGATGAAAGAGATAGCGACCTATGCATTGGTGATCACTGCACTATAGGACAGACAAAAATATGCAATCATTAGATTTTAATATAGCACTTCTCATTTGTTCACATTTACTATGTGTATGACTAAGAAAAACCTTTTGTTTAACGGCTCTTCAGTCTGAATATTTTCTTACCGTTTAGTTTAACTAAAAGAACGGTATAAACGTGCGCCCTTCGCATTTTCTCCTCCTTCCACGACAATATTCCTTCAACATTATTTAGCGGTAAATATCATTATAATATTTGTAATCCAGCCTACACTACAGTACATCTCAAAAGTATCATAGAAAATTTTAATTTAATTTATTTATATGCATGTATAATAAAGATTTTATAATGCCTCATATTTTGACTATCATAGCACTTTGTCTCAATTAAAATAATTAGTGAAAAAATTTTACAAAATGTGGATGCAGTTTTAATGGATGACTGAAAAATAAAAGGCATTGAATAATACATTGATTTTACTTGAACTTTTTTTAGAAATGGTGGTAAATAGTGCAGTCGAAAATGCTTTAGCAACGGTTGGTGCAGTTCTTTGGTGTGTACAGATTTTACCACAAATCTGGAAATCATGGAGAGCGAAGTCAACAACTGGTCTATCACCTTGGTTGATGTTTACATGGATGATTTCTCTATGGGTTTTGGGCATCTATAATATTACACAGGAACTGTCAATACCTCTTCATATTCAACCTGAACTATGTGGTATGTTGATTACATCTTCATCGATCGGTGGGTGTGGGGTGTATGATAGATGAAGACAATAATCACACGCACACCCACACCTTTATAATAATTATTTTTTACGATTAAGGCTTGTTGTGTGGTATCTCGTGGGTACAATGCTTATATTACAAAGGTGGAGTTCGAAAAACTTATTGTATCTTATGTATCGTAGCATGTTGTTTTCTTTCATGTGCAATACAAGTTGGCTGTGTCTATGCGCTAAGAGTAACTATATTTATTCTAATATGATGTCCTTTATCACTGATCTATGTAGACTGGTATTAAAAATGGTGTGACATGGCCCATCAAGATGTTTGGAATTATAGCGACCGTTCTTCTTGGTGGTGCTCTATTGTAAGTTTTGTTATTAGCATGAATAATTTAGAACTTTATTTTTAATTAATTTATCATAGTCCACAAATTTGGGAAATTATCAAACGGAAAGAAGTGGTGGGACTTTCGATCAAATTCATTATTATTGGTATGCTGGGTGGTGCCTGTAGTGCTACTTCTCTAGGCGAGTTTCTTTTACTTCTGTGTTCTCAGAACAATGTTGATAATATATCTTTTAGGTTTTGCACCTCCTCCTTTCGATGCGTTTGCTGCAAGCTTCTATCTTATAGTTGTCGGCATGGAATTGTTGATTCTTCTCTTGGCAGCTATTTTAAATCCGATTGCATATTATCGTCATCGTGATGAGAAGGTTACTGAAGTTATTGAAGAGATTGAAACTATCGATAAAATAGTATCTTCTAAAGACTACGTCGCTAATGCTGAAGCAAATATAAACAAACCTAGTGATCTAGATGATGCATTTGCGGAATGGTTTTGATATCAGTCTGGATCAAAGGATGTTGAGAACACATATTACTCTGTTTGAGAGTAAGAGTGAATGAATGAGAACCCGTTGTTATCATATGATTGTAGTCATAAATATTTATGTTTGTTACGGTTTTGATTGCGAATGATCTCACAAGAGTGAGGAGTCAGCCATTTTCTAATTAAATAATACTATTTAATTCTTTAAATATTATATAAATCTAAAAGCAAAATGAATATTTTGCTACATTATGAAATTCGATTAATAATAAGCAAATATTAATCAACTTTAGAAAAGCTTTAACTTCAGGATGTGAGTGTTCTTTTCACCTCGCATACACCCTCAATTAACTTTTTGTATGCTATTTCATAAGTATTTTGTTAGATATTCTGCGAAAAAACGAGAGTGCGTATCACAAGACGAGTATTTTCAGTAGAGTATTATATGTTTATTCATCAATAAAAAACTTTTTTTTCAGAAAGAAAATGACTTGGAAGAATAAGTTCATTATGTTTATGTCAAAAGCAGACTGGCAAATAAGTGATTACGTCAAATTTAGAATTGCCAATAATTCTATATATTTAAATTAAATAAAAAAACAAAATATTCATTTTTTCTCGAGTATCTGTTCATGAGTGTTTTAGTTTTGAGATTATCAATGAGTTGTTACTTTCTTATTATGGAAGTCTAAAACGTAGTCGACAAACTTAATTATTTTTTCTTTCATAAAAAATAATATTAAAGTAGCTGCAAGTGTATACCAGAAGGATTTATATTTATATATTATAACTTATGGCTTCCAATAAATTAATTAGATTTTCAATTGATGTCGATGAATGACGTACTTTCGACTTCAACTTCAGGCATAACATGTTTTTCTTCATTCAAACTATAATTAATATGTAGCAAGGACTTTCAAATTTTTAAAAGACACAAGATATCCACAAATCATTGCAAAATTAGAGGTGGTACTTTTAGTTTATAAAAAGCAAAGTTAAAGTAGCTAGGTCATCGAATAATAGAAAATCTATGAATTTGATATTTTTACTAAAGAAAAGATTTTTCTCGAGAACGACATTTTTTTTCCATAAACTCTAATCAAAGACTTTTAAGGTCAAGGATAAGAGTGAGAATTTAGAATTACTTTCAGTATATTTTATGAGTAAAGTAACTTATTGCTAATTTAAGTCTTTGTTCAAAATAACCTTTTTCTTGTTATATTATGGTTTTTCAGTTGATTTTCGTCATAATGTTATTAACATCATGTTTACCGTCGTTACTCTTTTTTTTCTTTCTTTAGTTCTCGCACTCGTTATTTATAAAAATACGACGATTCCAAGTATTTTCTAGTATATCATTATTCAACAGCAAAATGTCTTCATCGGGTGTGAACACTACTAGTAGTACTAATTTAGATGCTATTAATGCTCTTAAATATAGTAAAATTCTGTTTATTCAAGTTTGGTGTTTTACAATGTTTTCTTTTGGTACTGTCGGTCATATATTAAGTATTTATGTGTTTACACGTCGCTCACTTTATTCAAATCCATGTTCACGGTATTTTTTGGCGTCAGCAATGACTGGTCTAGTTGTTGTATGTACTGCTGTACCTCTGCGTCTTCTTCAATTTGTATATAATATTGATGTTTTTATGAGTTCCAATGTAATGTGCAAAATTCTAGTGTGGCTCTTGAATTGGTTCAAGTAATGAAGATGTTTGTACAATATAAAAATTAATATTTTCTTTGTATCTTTTTTAGAGCTCTACCATCATGGTTTATCGTACTTGCTTGTGCCGATCGGTTAGTATTACAATCGATTAACTAAGATAGTTCGATATTCTAAGTACAGCGACAGTTCTACCTTCAATGCTGTTACTTCACTATCTCTCAAGATGGATATTAAATAAAACATGTAAAACAGTCATAAAAGTTCGATCAATCATTTTTTAACGTATAGTTTCACTGCATCCGACTATCGTTTCGAAAATAGATCGAATCAGTTCTCTAAGAAAATTGATACGATGCGAAACCATAAGTTCTTCATTTGTTTTCATTGAAAATGTAGTTAGTATTTTTAAAAAATAGTCTCTATAGAACTTAACCAACAATATTTATTAGTCAGTTTAAAAATTGACTTTGACTGAATTTTTTTACAAAACTAACTCATTTTTCTGAGGTTTTTGTGCAGTTCATCGTCTGCTACCATCCGGGCTTGGAGTAGTATTCGTGTAGTTACTTTTGCTACTTCACTGACGATTTTGATTGTTGGTCTCGCTTACTTACATATGCCCTTCTATAATCGAGTGAACACAGCATCAGGATGTGTCATGGATCCAGGAACCTACACAACATTTTGGGGCATTTTTAATTTATTTATATTCAGTATGGGCCCACCTGTCTGCATGCTTACTTTCGGATTACTCGCCATTCGAAATGTTCGTCGATCTGTGAGACGAATGATACCTAGTAATACTCCTACTCCAACTCAAAATCAATTGCAACATCGTCAAAAAGCAACAGATCGTCAGTTGATGCAAATGATGATGATTCAATGTATGTTTTTCATTTTGACAGGAACGCCCAGTTCCTTCTATTATTTTTACTCTTCAGCAATAAGTAATGAGGTTTCGAATGTTCTTCAAGCAGCCAGACTTAGTCTAGCTGCGTCTGTAACCTCATTTCTAACCTTTGGTGGCGCATGCATGAGTTTCTATACGTTCACATTATCAAGCCAGTTATTTCGCCGTGAACTCATCCATTTATTTAATTGTCAGCAACGAACAATACAAGTAACCTCCGTGAACAGAAACAATCGAATACAACAAAATAGATTGAAAACGAGTGCTTTGTAAACAGCCATAAGCGCCATTTTGGAACTAGCAGTTTTCATGTTTAAATATGAAGACAAAAGATGCGTGTATTTCTTTATAGTTCTGAACAACGAAGTACACTCTTCGTTCCTGCATAAATGTTGTGACGATGTGTGATTGTCTCTTCTCTGCTTTCGTTCTCTCTACGCATGTTCGTCGCTTTCATCTTTTCTATGAATATTGTTGTATATTTTATTGATGTCACTTATTCATCATTGTTAAGTTTTGTTCAGTCGATCATATTTCGACCGGTTTTCTGTGCTTATGTGTTTCTCTTTTTCCTATTTGTATTTTTCTGTTGTCGGTTTTACCTTCATTTCGAAAATAAATATTTGAATTTGAACACCATCCTGAAGATGTGGGTGTGGATAATGAAGAAACAAAACCACACACACTCACACCCACACACACCCTCAAGCTGAATCTGCGACAAATATTAAACAAGCAACATTTTTTATTTCTACAACAATGTTCAAAACAATAACAAGTTTTAAAAGTATATGCTAATTAAGAATATTAATGCTACAACATGAATAAAGTATATTAATTCATGAAAGCTTGTTATGTCTTCGACTTCGTCAAATACAGTTTTTGCCGTAGTATGTAGAATATCGTTTCAGTTATATATCATAATCCAGAAGCATTTAATTTCATTATATCAAAACGTCGACGGATATATGCTATTATTTGCATGAATTCTTTTCGATAGACTGGCGCTGGTAGAATAAAAATTAGGAAAATAAATGCGGACGGTATAAATGAAAGGAAATAGCCGAGCAGATAGAACCAAAGTAGGTGAGATGATTTGTCGCATTTTAAAATAAATGAAATAATTAAATGAGGTACTGTTAAAAATATGATAATAATGGGACTAATTATAAGATGTTTGTATTGTTTTATTTTTATTTTAAGGATGTCTTTAAATCTTGGATTACTCTTAGCAGCTGTTCGATAACGTTGACGAGCAGTTATTATGATAATGGTAATAGCAGATATTACATTAGTTGCTAACGGACCAATATAATGAAACATAATTGAAGTAAAGTTGTAAGTTTGCATAAATGATGAATACGTAATGACACACCAACTTCGTTCTTCTATGTTGTCAGTAAAAACATGAAGTTTAATTATCGGAAGAACATAGACACCAAAGTTGATAAGAAATACTACTATCACTGCATATCTGGCAATTGTTTTACTTTTCTCCGTATTAAAACTAATTCCTTGATGTACAGAAACGATTCGTTCGATAGATACACAAGCATTCAGCCATTTATCTATGTTTAATAATACTTTTAAAAGAGGTTCAACAACTCGACAATTTGCGAAAAGAATGACTTGTAAAGTACGATGTTCGTGAACCAATTGATACGAGAAAAAAAGTAGCCAAAATTTAAGTGTAAATAAGATCATGATCGTTATAGAATTAAATGAGGCAACTAAAAGATATATTCCACAACCAACTTTTTGTGATGCTGGCCTACGACATACCATTATTGATAAAATACAATTGATGAGTCCTACGGCAAATATTATCATTGTAATAGCAGCACTCACTTTTACTGTGATTGGTTGTTTAGATAAAATTGTATTCCGTTTTAATTCATAACCCAATATTTCATCTAATGTTGAGCCGAGACCTTTGGTATAAAATTGACATTCCTCGCCAAAGAAACAGGCGGGACATATGCAAATCCTTGTAGATGGACAAACCGGATGATCTTGTACACATTGTGCTCCATCTGCACAATTTTTTGTCAATGAACATTGAAAATTTCTATCACGTTTGAATTCCATACAGTTAGCGTGACGATCACTGGTGCACAAACATAAATAGGCTGGATCAATGAAACACATAAGATCAGTATGTGTGTGACAAAGAATATGGAAGAATATTATCCGTCGATACTGAACCATTTTCATTACTGTGGAATTCAATAGTTGTTCGGCAGGAATACACTCCTGTGAAGGGCGAATCGATGTTGTGATATTTGTATGTAAAGATTGTTGAAGTACAGCAAGGTAATATTTGCCACTTGATTGAATAATTGCCATATGAAATGATACTGAAACGTGGAAAGTAGCGGTGTGTTGAAATAGTGTCAATTTTCGGAGTATAATTGTCTGCATTGGATCAGACTTATTCGAGAGTGTGAAGAAATAAGCGGCAAGATACGATGGAATATGCATATCAATTAGAGAAACATCGAGTTTCACCTTAGCATATTGACAATTTACACCAAAAAACTGATCAGGACAAACACATGTATAACTGCTGTCAGGAGTAGTTACATCAGCTGGTATACATGTTCCATTATTTTGACAAATATTAGTTGGACATGCTGATGTGAACATACATTGTGAGCCAAACTTATGTAATGGACATACGCATATTAATTCATCGTTTACTGATCCTAAATAAAATGAATCGTTTGAACACATTTGACGACTTATCGGGATATTGCACTGAATGCCTGTCCATTGTGAGTGGCATCGACAGAAATATTTTTCTTTATTTAAATACTTTACACAAGTACCATTGTTGCAAGTAATTAAACAATTGGACGAAATTTGAATAATATGATTTGATAAAATCAACGAAATTGCTAATCGATTGACAGGTAAAAAGAGAAATGTAATGGGAAAGTGCCAACTTCCAACATACGTTATGCTGTTTTTTTCGAATGCATCAATACGTATGCTATAGTTCTTGGATAAGTCTTTTGGTCGTGTGGAAAATAATAAATATCGATCGAATTTAGTACTGCAACTGTCCTTTGTGATGTATACAAATTGATCGTATGCAGTAATCTCTTGTTGTTCATCATTATCATCGATTAACATAATAATAATAGCATACGTAGCATGTCGATCAACTGAGCTCAAGTGCAATGTAAGGCTAATACGTTGATTTTGATATTGACATAAATGGCCATAGTAACTTGGTGGACACATACATACATTATCAAAACTATCATTTTCACTTCGAAGATAAATAGTAAGTCCACGATTACAATACCATGGCCATATATTAACGTCACTGTGATCTATATTGACATTCTCGATAGAATGCCGTTCTGTTGTCCAATACAAACTTTCATCGACGACACTATTTTCTAACGAAGGATAGTTAGACGATGTATGAACAGAAAAATACTGTCTTCTTCGATTTTTCTGTTCACTCAGTCCACAAAGAACTTCTTCTATTTCACTGCGATTGTATGTTGAATCGTTGGTACAGTTGAACTGATGAGTTTTACAGAATTTTTCATCATCATGAAGCGGACAATCATTATTGTTGTTGCATAATTCTGATGGTACCAAACATTTTGTATCCCTGAAGCAGCGAAAGCGCTCAGGAACTTCGCTCGGAGGATAGATGCTTCGACATTCGTGTTGTTCGTCTGATGCGCCAAGACAATCATCTTCTCCATCATTAACACGTGTGTGAGGTAAGCAGATTACTGTAAAATTGAGACGATCTACACAGGCGTGAGTTCCAGAACGACATTTTGTTTGACTACAATTGTTCTCATCGCGTCCATCGGCACATGCCCAATAGCCGTCACAGCGTGCATATATATTGTCACATAACCACTCTTCGCAGTCGAACTCATCATTATAATATTGTCCAGAATTATCGTAGTAAATGGATTCGTTGATACCATCACAAAAACGTTGAAATGGAATTTTATCGTCTTCTCCGGTCATGGAACAAGCGTACTGTTTCCACACAGGGGACCAGCATGTATCTGTGTTGTGGCATTTCACTCTGTATTGATTGTTAAGTTTACAACTGTTCCGATAGTTCTCATCATCATCATGGAAACAATCTTGTATACCATCCATGATGCGATGTACCGAAATGAAGTTCGATGTATTGCGACAGTTATATAATAACGAATGATCCACATATGTTTTTGTTTTGTTGCTTGAGATCACATGAGAAATCAAA